ACATCGACCCAAGGGAGTGGAGGGGGAGGGGTGATAAGCCTGGGCTGTGGTTTGCGCAGATGGGCCAGTGCCCTCCTTTGCCCTTGACGTGGCCGAGTCTTCTGGGAAGCAGCTCCCCTGCAGGGCTGTGCTGGACACTCGATGGTCACTCTGCCAGCTACGCCCTCTGGGAGTAAGCATCCTCTAGCCTCCTGTCCCCACGGCCTCAAGACGCTGCAGACCCCTGGGCAGGTTGTGTGGCTGGAGGCAGGAGGCCGGGCCACCTGATTCACAGAGTCTGATTCATGCAAAGTCACCATCATGCTCCCCTTGAGGTGGCTTGGGGGGGCCCACCAGGAGGGGCACCATGGGGCCAGCCGGGCAGTTGCCTGGCTGCCACCTTGACCACAGCACAGCATGCCCATGGCTGACCTTGGCCACGGGAGCTGGCTGCCCGGTCTCTGCAGCAACCACAGCTTCTCTCACTGCTGGCTCCGGTTCCCTCCGAGTGTGATGACTTGCTCTGCTTTGGTGCCATGGAAAATCTGGACCCCCTTATTCAGATCTCCAGTGACCAACAACCCCCATCACCCTGCTGCAGCCTTGTCACCCCACATCCATGGTGGCAGCAGAGATGAGAAGGGGCTGAGTGGTATTTGTGGGGACTCAGCAGCCTCCCTTCGCCCACCACCACGTCCAGGAAGACAGCACTGTGGCACCCTGGCCACAGGACCAAGAGACCAAGGTGGGGTGTGGCTCCTCGAGCCCAGGTCTCTGCACTTCCACCCCTCCCACCGATGCCCGAGGACGTGACCACATGGCTGGCCTGTGAGACACAGCTCCAAACCCCTCTGTCCTGAGCCCAGGGAGCCCACAGCTCGAGGACAACTCTCTAGTCAGCGAGGTTGCGGCCGCAGCTCAGCCTCAGAGACAGAGAACACAGCCAGCAGCTGAAGGCTTTGTTTTATTTCATGCTGGGACCCAAGGCCTATGGATGCCATTCTCCACCATGTCACCATGAAGGTAGCACTGCCCACGCCCAGCCTCCCATGACCTGGTCCCAAGCCCACAGAGCACATGCCTAGAATCAGGATTGTTTTCTGAATTGAATGCAGAGTTCCTCAAGGGCCCTGAGCCTGTTTGGCTCAGCCTCGGGTCAGGCTGGCTCTGCCGCCCAGGAGGAGCCGGGCCAGGGGTCTGCAGGAGAGGTGCACGGGAGAGCCCCAGGGTGGTCTTCCAGGTGATGGTGGGGACAGAGCCTGGCATACTTAGGGAGGCCAACGTTTTCCTCTTGCTTTATGCGGCCTGTTGTCAGGCCCCCTTTGAAACAGGCGGAGCAGGCACATCGACCCAAGAGCCTCCCTCCCAGGGGCTGTGGGCTCCAGGACAGGCGAAGCCCCACCTCCAGCCTCACATGGCGTAGGCCGCCCAGTAGAGGACATTGACGGCCACGAAGGCCGCAGGGAACACCACGCGGGCGTAGATGTCGATGGTGTCTGCGTCAATGGGCTTGAAAAGCGCACGGAGGCCTCCTTGGCCCCCCGCACGGGCCTCCCCCTGCTTCCTGGCCTCTCCCGTCTCCATGTCCACACACCTATAGGAGCCCATGAGGTTCCCAGGCCTGCGGCAGTGCCGGCGGGACACGGCCAGCTCCTGGGTGGCACCAGCGGCCGACAGGGAGAAGAGCACGATGGCGTTCTTCACATCCATCTGCGCGGTGTGGGGGGGGGGTAGGAGACATGGCTGAGCCGAGGGCAGGCTCCCGCCACCTCAGGACCCCCAACCTGGGCCCGCGTCCAGCAGCAGGACGGGCCAGAGTCTGGGCCTGCTCTCGTGCGCCGGGGGCTGCCGATGACCTCCCCGGAGCAGTGGGCAGAGGGTCCTGAGTGGGTCCCAGGAAAAGTGACCCCAGCACGGCTGCCGCTCTGTGCTGGGGGTGGAGGGAGTGGGGCTTGGGGGCACCAGGAGGTGGTAGGAGAGGCTGTCCTTGATCCTGAACACCAGAGAGCCAGCAGGCTCAGCCTCACCTCTGCTTTCTGCTCCTTGACCTTGACCTTGGCCTTTTGCTTCTTCCGGTAGTCAGCATTGAAGTGGGCGAAGGCATACTCCACCAACGCGGCAAACACAAAGACGTAGCAAATCCAGAAGTACACGTCCAGCGCCTTGATGGCTGAGGCCCGTGGGAGGGAAGAGCGGGCGCTGACCATCAGCGTGGTCATGGTCAGCACCGTGGTAATACCTGCTGGGAAGGGGCGGTGACATTGCTGGTGCCCCTGTCATCTCCCTGCACCCCTACCCCTGGCCCAAGGGCAGGTCAGGCTCCTCTGGCCTGGCCTGGCCCGGCTGGCCACTGACCCAGGACAGCTGGGAGCAAGGGGCTGGGAGGCAAGACCTGACCTTGTGGCTAGCAGAGTTGGGGTCCTATTTCTGGGCTCCCGCACTTCCGCCACCTCCCTCCGAGGAACGGTCAGGGCCCCGTACCTAGAGACACCCTGGCCGGCACTGCTGCCTGGCTGATCCAGAAGGAGACCCAGGACATGGCGACCAGCAGGATGGAGGGCATGTAGGACTGGATGATGTAGACGCCCCGGTTCCTCCGCAGGTGGAAATGCAGGCTGAGCCGAGGGAACTGACCGGCTGCCGGGGAAACGCTCCCTGTTGGGACCTGACCCCCACACGCGGCGGCTCTCGGGCGGAGTGGAAGGCTTGGCAGGCACTGGGGGCCACCGCGAACCCCAGAACCCTGCCTTCGTCACCTCCCGCACACAGCCTGATAGGCCAGGGGTCTCCCCTGCCCTGAGTCTTGTCCCGGGAGAGAGGCTGGCTCTCTGCAGGGCCACCCAGAGGAAGGAGAGGAGACAGGTTCCGGTGCTGCACTGGCCCAGGGGACTCTCCCCGCCGTGTGGCCGGCTCACCTCTCCTGGCCCTCCTGGGTGCACAGTCAAGCTAAAGGAAAGAGCCAGCGGGGCTCACTGGTACCAGTGACCGCACAGTAGGAGCTGGGAAGGGGCAGGAGTGGGCAGGAGACAAGGCAGCCCCAGAAGGTGTGGCCCCTGACGCCCTCGCCCCTCATGTTCCCCAAACCCCAAGCACTGCTAGCCTCCAGGAAGCAGCAAAGGACAGAGCAATGAGGCAGAGAAAGCCTGACCCACGTCCACACTGTGGCGTCCTGAGTCCCCCGGTCGGGTGCAGCCTGTGCCCATCCGTGGCTTTCCAGCTGCCTCCTCAGGGGGTCCTCAGAGTCGACTAACAGCTTAGTTAAAAGTGCCAGAAAACCACAAGCCAGGCCCATAGGAAGAGGCCGCAAGAAGCCGCGTTACCGGATTTGAAGTTCATCAGCTCTGTGGCGAAATGGTAGCTGGTGATGGTGAACTGAGCCAGCTGCAGCTTGTTCAGCCCGTGGATCTGCTCCTGGTTCTCAGACCAGTAGTAAACGATGTCCTCAGATGAGTAGCCATCTGCAGGAGAGCCCCAGGTGGGCAGCGGAGCCTGGTGTCCCCCAGCCCCTGGAAGCCCCCAGCAGGAGAACCCCGTCCACACGGGGAGCCTGACACAGCAGAGACAGGGGACAGCACGGGAAGACCCAGCCAGGAGCAAGAAGGCCTGCGGCCATGCCCAGCACCCCAGGCAGGAGGACAGGGCCAGAAGAGCTGCACAAAGGGTAGGTCACCAACTGCAGGTGACCCACAGGGGCTGTCAGGCTGGCCGAACGACACAAATACGTGCCTCATCTGGGCTCCACACCCATCTGTCCCTGGCAAGGCACTGACCCCTGGGAAGAGGGCAGGGCTGGTCAGGCCTTCCAGCTCTCTCTTCCTTCTCTTCAGCCCAGGCCTCTGACTGCACGGGGCCTGTCCCAGTTGCCTCCTGGTCCCCGAGCCAGGCCAGCTGCAAAGCTCCCCAACAGTGTGAGTCCCCTGTGTTTCCCCAGCAGAGCCACCGGAGATGCAAGCACCGCCTGCCCCGAGTGGAGCCCCACCCTGTCCCGGCCCCCGGAAGGGCACTCACAACTCTCCAGGTGCAGCATACACTCCTGCTCGTCCATGGGGTACTTGGCCAGGTCCATGTCGCAGGCCACCGTGGAGGTGATTCTGCCCAGACAACATGCTGGTGAGGTCTCCGGGAGTGAGGCCGGCGCCCGAGATGCTGTGGTCCTCCTGCCCCCACAGGCACAGACGCCCCAGCCCCCCACCCAGAGGGCCACCTCCAGCGAGGGCGGCCCAGCGGCCTCTCAGGCTCTGTCGGCAAGGTGCTGGCATCGGGGGGAGAACGGAAAGCTGCGGTCCGTGGACAGATACTTGTGGGTCTTCAGGAATCGCAGCTGGGCTTCGTTCACTTTCTTCGTCCTTCAAAGTGCTTGACTGTGTGGCTACGTTGGGGGCTTAGAAGGGAAGTGCCAGCTGAGCACCTGACCTGCGCTAAAGGACAGCCTCTGGGCATCCCCACTGACCGGGCCGTGTGGGAGAAAGCCCGGGCTGCCAAACGTTCTGACTTTCCAGAAGAATGTAGATTTCTTACATAAATCTCTCGGTTTTTAAAGTGTTGGCAGCTAATGCTGTTTTCAAAAGGCACACGTCAGAAGCTCGTGTTCAAACAAATGCATGTACGTGTATGTTCACAGCAGCACAACCCACGACGGCCAGCACGTGGCAGCCGCCCAGAGCTCGTGAGTGCGTGAGGGGGCGCCAGACCACGGAATGCTGCTCAGCCACAGAAGGGACAAAATCCTGACAAACGTCACAACAGGGGTAACCCCAGAAACACCGCTAGTGGAAGGAAGGCAGACACAAAAGGACATGAAATGTGCAGAACGGGCAGAAAGCAAGTCGGGGCACGCAGGGGGAGGGGTGAGTGAGTGTTCATGGGCCCGGGGTCTCCTTTTCAGGGAATGAGCCGTTCTGGAATCAGATAGAGGTGATGTTTGCACAACACTGCAAATCTACTAAATGCCACTGAATCATTCGCGTTGAAATGGTGAATTTTATGTTATGTGAATTTCACCCCCGCATAAAAACAGGAAGGCACCGCGTCGGCCAAAAAGCTGCACCTGCGGGCTTCCGGCGGCCACCTCCGCAGCGGCCGTGTGTGAAGCGGTGCTGGAGGCTGGAGGCTGCCAACAGCCCACCAGCTCCCAGCAGAGCCTCCTGGCGGGGCCGGTCCCGGGCTCACCGGATGCTGTACAGGATCACCCCGTCGGGCTGTAGCCGGATCAGCTTGTTCTCCACAGTCACGTCATGGAACCAGGCGGACTTGGCGTTCACAATGAAGGTGTCCGGGAGCCACAGCTTGTCCACGAAGCGGCTATCCAGGCCCAGAGTCTCGTTGGTGTGGTTGTAGGCCAGCCTGCTGTCCCTCCAGCTCTGGTGCAGGAACACGGTCATGGTGTACTCCTGCAGAGGCCGGAAGGGCCCCTGGCCGTCAGCCCTGCTCCTGTCCTGGGGGCCCAGGGCAGGGGTGCAGCAGAGGCTGGCCAGCACCTACCATGTTCACCTCCGAGATGTGGTCGATGCTGGCTACCTCGATGGCGAGGGCCACGTTCACAGGAGGCCCTGCAAGGGAGGCGCTGAGGCCAGGCTCTCCACCCAGTGAAAACCCAGCCAGGCAGGACACGGCTTAGCCAGGGTTTTTCAGGGAGGACCGTGTTGGTAAGCGTCTGCAATGAGATGCTGAGATCCATCTTCCTAGCTGTCTCCCTGAGGGGGCTAGCTGTCGAAGCCTGACTCACCCCTTAGGGACTGCAGATGTACCCCTCAGGGGAGCCATCCCAGAGCCAGCGAGGCTCACACACCCAGCTGGATGCAGGAGTCTACCCGTGCCCCCACCGGCCGCCCTCACCTCCAATGCCAGGCCGGAAGTTGCGAGCATAGCCCTCCATCAAGCCATCCAGGTTGGGAAGCCAGGATATCTCCAGGTTGGAGCCGACATAGTCCCCAATATCGTTCATTGCTCTGGAAACAAAGGCCCACTGGTCACAGTCTGGGTGCCAGGGATGGAGCCTAAGTCCCCTGCTGGGCCTGAGCCACTGGGAGAGCCCCTCCAGGCTGGACCTGGCCAGTCCCAGTAACTCCTGCCAAAACCAGGGAGCCCCAGGGAGGAGCAGGGCCCAAGACTCTTCCATCTCACCCACCAGCCTCTCTGCTCAGCTACCTCCTGCCCACCTGGCCTTGAGTGAGCCTGCTGGGTCAGGCAGAGTCCCCAACCCTGGAGACTCTCGATGAATAACCTCGGAGGACCCTGACGAGGGCACACGGCCTCCCTTTCAGCCTCTGAGGGTAAAGTGTTCTGCAGGAGGTGACTTGAGAGAAGAGATGTGTGACCAGGAAGCTGAGGGCCGGGGAGAAGGGGGGATGGGTGAAGTCCCAAACCTGACCCAGGGCAAGGTGAAGGGCCCATGGGACACTGTAGCCGAACTCCTGCTCTCTGTCCCTTTCAGAGCAGTGGGGGCCCGTGCCAAGGGTTGCAAGCGGGTCCCATTGGCAGCCCGTGCTGGTCGTGTTTGCCCCTGGCAGGGCCGCATTATATGGGTAGAGCCGGTACACACCAGACTGCCAAAGGCTACCCACCCCTGCTTGTGCTTACCTGTCCTGGGGCAAACAGCGTCGCCCAAAGTTCATGTCCACCCAGAACCTCGGAAATTGGGCTGTAATTAGTTAAGATGATATCGTGCTTGATTAGGGTGGCCCTAAACCCAATGAGTGGTGTCCTTATAAGAAGAGAAAGCAGACACACGGGGAGAAGGCCGCGTTACGACAGAGGCAGAGACCGGAGAGACACAGCCACAAGGCAAGGATGCCACAGACCCTGGCAGCGCCCGAAGCTGCAGGGAAGCACAGGAATGGATCCTCCCTCAGAACCCTCCAAAAGGAGTCAGCCCTGTCCTCAGACTTGATCTCGGGCTTCTGGCCTCCAGAGCTGGGAAAGAATAAATGTCTATGGTCTTAAGCCCCCCAGTTTGTGGTCACTTGTTAGAGCAGCCCCAGGAAACGCACACACCCCGCCCCCTGGCCAGAGGGCAGGGCCCGTCCACAGTCGGGCAGGAAGGGAGGAGGGCATTCAGGAGGGCGTTCAAGAACAGCACCGTTGTGTTACTCTGTAATAACGCTGAACACCGGGAGAGCTTGCCTGGGACAACCCCTCTTCTGTTTCATATACCGACCCTTTGAAGAAGGTCGAATTTTGAACCAAGAGCTCCTTAGCGAAGGAAACTCACAAACCCTGACCTATCCCAAAGGACTGCCTTGGTCCCTCCAGGCAATAACCTGGTCCAGGGCGGGGGTAGGGTAGGTGATTTGGTAACGAAGTATAAGAGGGACTTGAACGAAGTCCTGGCCCCAAGTAAAGCCCAGTTAAAAACACAAATGGAGGTCACCCTGAAGATCGGATGGAAAGGAACTGGAATTAGGTTTTATTTTTGGACTGGCCCAGCTGCCATCTTGCTGCAGCGGCTAGCCTGCCAGGAACAAGGCTGTCAGGGGACACCATCCAAGCCTGGCCTCAGGGTGGTGGCCCAGGCAGGTGCACTTTTCCTCGGCTGGGTCCCATGCGCACTCACAGGCATGAAGGCAAGACGGTGGGGAAGCCCCTGGTCATGAAGCTCACCTTGAACTGGAAGGATGCCAGTGGACTTCTCAGCCTTTGTCAACCCTAAGGGGGTGCGGAGGGGACAGGCTCCTGGCCCCATCTCACTTCTCACCTAGGACAGGGGCTGCTTGTTTTTCCAGCTGTGAAGAGATGTCAAGGGCCATCCAAGGAGGATGCCCTGCATGCCAGCCTGGGATGTGGAGGGCCTTCCTTTCCTCCCATGGTTCGGGTAGGCAGCTAAAGGGGTGGACGGGGTCCACATTCCATGTGGGGGTTGCTCAGCATGGGGTAAGCTTATGGGGACTCTGACCAGCACCTTGGGAGAGAGGTTCTGCTTCATCTGATGGCCTTGGACCCAACGATGGCCTAGGGTGGGGGCTCCTGTTGTGTAGACGGACAGAGAAGCTCAGAGACACACGCCCAGACTCCTGGGATGAAGCATGCACCATGAAAACACTTGCAGCTTGCACCTAGCTGTCAGGAACCATCAGGCCTCCCTCCCTCGACTGACCCCTTGAGAAACAAGCCCACCCTGTCACTTGTCTGTGCCCCTGGAGACAGAAAGAAAAGGTGGGTGTCGCTGAGCAAGGCAATGGGGCCCTCTTCCCTCCGAGGATCCTTCCACCATGCACACACAAGCCCACGGTCCCTGACAGCTGTACTGGCACCTCAGTTACGAGGCGAAGAGGAACACGGCGACAGTCGCACGGTGAACTGACAAGGCGGGAGCTACAGACAGAGCTTCCCCAGGGAGGTGGAGGTGCCAGCAACCCAGAGGGGGCCAGCCAAGGGGGCTGCGGCCGGCAAGCTCAGGCACCCGCTGCACGAGTGGGTCTTCGGGCTCGGGGTAGGCACAGCTTTGGCCCCACCCGCTGACGCAGCACAGCACTTCCCTTCTTCTCCCGCCAACACCTTCCCACCAGCAAGCCCAGGATCTGACCTGAGCAGCGGCGGCCGGAGCCAGCACCTCCTGTCCTCCCACACCACTCCAGGGGTGAGGACCAGGACCGAGGGAAGGGAGGGTGCTGGACCCCTGGCTTCTGGCGTGGAGGGAAACAGAAGCTGGTAGGAGAGGAGGCCCCAGGCTGACAGCACGGCACTGTCTGAAGGTCGCCCACCAAGGCCCACAAAGCCCAGAGGCCTTCCTCCCGGCTGTGGCCACAGCCTGCCGGCCTCCATGCACAGGCAAACAGATACATCCATTACCCAAACCCCAAGCCAGATGTGGGTCAGAGTGCAGAATGTTTCTGCTTTTAGAAAGGCAATATAATGCACATATGGACTTGGGGTGCGGGGGGGGGAATGTCTGGAGAATTTCCCAGCAGGAAAGTTTAAGTAGGCCCCAAAAGTAGGATGAATGAGACTCATGTAAGAGCAGAACAGGCTTTGCCACCAAATGAGCTTTGGTGTCAAACTTGGGCTAAGACTTTGGGGTTCAGAGCAGCTGGGATTTCAGAGTCACAGCTACGTGGCTGTGCTAGGCCCACAGCTGATCCCAGGCCTCTAGCACATACGTCCATGGCCACGCCTCAGTGCTTTGACCTTCCCGTTACCTTGAAGTAAGAAGAGGGAAAGGGGCCGTGGAGCTCGATAAAAGAACAAAGCACTCCCGAGCACAGGGGTCACACAACGCTGCTTGTGGTCTTGGGCACAATGGCCACACTGTGGCCAGACCCAGAGCTTCCTGGTTCTGCCCCCCAACCACCAACAAGGAAAGTCTGACCACATCTCCCCTACCTCTCTGATATGTGCTGCCTGAGTGCCTACAGACCAAACACAGGCTGATGTTCAACATTTTCCAGTTTCCAAGGATCCAGAAGCCTGGAATGCTGGGGGAGGGGGGGCTGTCCTTGTTCTGTTTTCTGCAGCCCTTGTACCAAGAGGATCTTCAAAAAGGCCCCTCACATCTCCCGTGGAAGGTGGCTAGGATAAGTGCATGGGATGCTGGGCTACCTGGAGCCCATTTCCAGTCCCCAGAGAAGAGACAAGCCAGCAGGGACCCTACTGGTCCCGGAAGCCAAAGGGAGGAAGCCACAGCCCAGGGGGACCCTTTTCTTAACCTCTTCCTTCCTCCCCTCCCCCAACAGTTAGAAATCCTGAGTTGTCGTTGCTGTCCCCCACCCCCTCACCTCCTCACCTCCCACCCCACCTCGCCCCCCACCCCCCACCAGAGGCAGCAGGCTCCTTCCCACCTGCATACTCTGGAGTTCAGTGGATTCCATTTGAAACGGCCCCTGAAAGGAGATTCCACAGCGTCCTGGGCCCCAACTTTCTGACGACCACACACAACCCTTATCTTGTCCACCCCAGCCCTGCTAGCTGCGGCGGAAGCTCGTCTGTGTAGCTCTGCTCCCATGGGAAAAGGAGCAGCCTCCTCCCCCGTGTCCTCAGGATCGCTCCTTCCTGCCTGCCTGCCGCTCGTGC